AAGAGATGTCACGTGAGGGTGTCGTATAGGGTGTTCGGATACTAATAAAAAAATAAATTGTAGAATCCATCATTACTCCACGAGACGAATTTATTAACCCTAATTAACCCGTCATTAGCATATGTTTACTGTAGTACTACATTGTCAAATCATAAACTAATTAGGCTTAAAAGATTCGTCTCCTAAATTAGTCGCAAGCTGTGCAATTAGTTTTATAATTAGTCTATATTTAATATTCCATGCATATATTAAACATCCGATAGAACAGCGATTAAAGTTTAGGAGGAGAAACCGAACACGCTTTTGCCACGTAAATACAACATAAAGTTCCAATGAAACTCTTTTTGGCGCCAACCTTCATTGGTTTGCCTTCTTCCCGCCTGAAATTTTACAAGCAGAAACAGTGGTCGGAGCGTCGGACAGTGCCCTGCACATCCTATCCTGCCACTGCCACCACTCTGATTCTTGCAGCTCAACACTCGCATGAATTCGAGCACTGACTTTTCAGATAGGACGCGTAAACACCAGCGGTTTGCAACTTTTTATATGGATTCTCGCCACTCGTCAGGCTCTCATTGCAGCCGAGAGCAGATGCAGCAAAAGCAACAGAGTACTGTGCCGACCTCTGGCACTGCAAGCCTTCCCATGCTTCTGTTTGACCACAGTGAATAGTACAGTGCTATACATACCGCATACAGTACCAATTTTTGAACTAATACCAGTCCTCGGCCTTGTTTAGATGCATCCCAAATTCCAAGTTTTTTCACTCTCTCTCCGTCACATCAATTTTTAGCCGCTTGCATGGAGTATTAAATGTAGGTAAAAAAATAACTAATTACACAGTTTAGTTGGAAATCACGAGATGAATCTTTTGAGCCTAGTTGGTCCACGATTGGACAATATTTGTCAAATAAGACGAAAGTGGTACTATTCATCGGGTTGAAATTTTTTCAGCATCTAAACGAGGCCCTAGTACAAATTTTCAAATACCAACAACAGTACGACAGCAAAATAGCTTTGGCTCATGGTTTTTACGACTAATAATCCGACTGATGCTGTTTTGTTGTAAAAAAAAACATTGTAACATGGTTGCTAAGCCGGGCCGATAAGTTCAAGCGACCAGTGCGTGCAATGGAGTATTACCATTCCATAGACAGATCAAGCTACATCGATCAGTGTTTCATGTCCACGTCTTCAAAAACACAGCATGCAGTGGCCTGCCGCGAGCAGCAGCAAACACCTACTGCCAGCATACATACGGAGTACCGTGTAGCACTAGTAATTGGCCTCGAAGTGTGTGCCGGTGGCCGGCCGGTGCAGCTAGCTGCCGTTCCTGCGGCCGCACTGATGGCCGGCAACCACCCTCCGCTCTGCATAAATGCCATCCTCCCCTTCCTTGTAGTATACCGTTGCTATGATGTGATTTGAGTGTAGTGTACGGTGGTGTGTGTATAAATACCATCCACAAATACGGCGTGGTTAGTTTGCTCCACGTCATGGGCTCAGTAACTAATCAATGGATCATCGATATACTCACACATTGGAGTATATGTACGAGTTAGACGCAATGTGTGTGGCTCGCCATGTTCATGTGGTCCGTGTCGCGAGGGCGACGCCGGCGAGGTCGCCGCCGCCGTACTCCTCCAGCACCACCAGCAGGTTCCCGCTTGGCTTCAGCCACGACCGCGGCACGTGGTACCTGCAATTGCAAATGTGCAGAAATGTCATGTGTGTTCTCAACAAGCTCGCGCCATATCCTCACTTCCCACGTTTGCACGCCACAGCTTTGTTTCTACGGAATACAGTACGTACCATCTCTGGGAGAGGTCGCCGCAGTTTGACATGCACTGGTCCTCGCGGTACGTCCCGGCGTAGCTGCACCGCCGGCAGCTGCCGGAGTAGGCCCTGTACGACCAGTACCTCCCGGCGTGGTGCCCGTTCACCCACATCTGGCCCTTGCCCATGCTGCCCATGTCCAGAGCCACCGGATCGTTCCCTGCCGGCGCGTTGAACAAGGCCTGTTCGTCACACCAAACAAGGATTCAGCAACACAAGTCACTTATCACTGCTGCCAATGCCATCTCTTCAGAAGTTCAAATCGCTAATGGAAGGACCTTGTGCCAAGTCAGTGGCTGTTTGCCACCGGGGCCGGCCCATTCCACGGCGGAGCTTCCAGTCACGGTGTGGAGGCCGAGCGACTCGCCTTTCAGGCCGACCTGCGCCAGGCAAGATTCAGTGTGATTCTGTGATGAGCTTATTAGCATTTCTGATGGAAGAAGGCATTTTTTCGCGGATGCCTGGATGGTACAAGCACCTGATATGTCCATTTCTGATGGCTGAGGTCCCTCTTCCCCTCATTCAGGCCGGAGAGGGTCACTGGCCCGAGGACGCCGACGTTCCACAACTCAAAATGGTTGCCATTGTTCTACATCACCACCATATTCGGCGTTACAAACATTTTTTAGAGTAAGATGATTTTTTATGATATTGAATTGGCCTGTGATCAATCAACTTACAGGAAGGCCCACTGCTGAGCTTAGGATGGAGATCTTGTTGCTGCCCTGCCACATCTTCACATGTCCATTGAACCTAAGTTTCGGGTTGTCATAGCCGCCATAAACAGATCCTACAACATAAACATTCTCTCAGTATAATCCTCGTACAGACCTGATTGGTAACAAAATGCTGCTAGAGAGAGAAGTTATTAGTACCATATGATCTCCCATTGACGAACACCTGCATCGAGTGTCCAGCGGAATACACAGTGAGCTGAGGCCACTGGCCAGACTTCAGGAATTGTTCATTGGCACCAATGTTGACACTGCAGTGAGCATAATTCAAAGTTAAGATAATCCATAAGGTTTCAGAAAGAAATGGTTCCAATGATCGATGAAGCCTTATCAAGGCCACTAGGCCAGTCAGTCACTCACTGGGTGGTGTACCACAGATAGTCTGATTTGTCCCATGTCAAGCTGAGTTGCTCGACCAGGCCATCCCTTGTAAACGCACTGTCATCCAGCGAGTTTGTGTCTTCGCTGTAGGACTGCCAAGCGAAGTGTAACACCGGGTTCATCTTCGGCAGCAGAGTTGGCTCCTTCACCTACACAATTATCACATTTTTCTCATTAGACTACATGATCCCGTTTGTCCTGTAGAGAGAACGAAAGATTCAGCCTTCAGTACGCTCTCACCGTTGCAGTGTTGAAGACCGCGGTTTTGCAGTCAGGCAGAATGCTGATGGACCAAGCAGGGAGGTCATAATGACGCCCATCAAACCTGATTTTCACAGCAGTCTTCATGTGGTAGTTCGACAGGAATGCGGCACAGGCTCCATTCTTCGACTTGAAGACATATGCCTGGAAAACAATTGATCGTTCCATCATCTGCTGATGTTTTCTTGTATTTGGCAACACATTGCCATGTGAGAAAATTCCGTAGCAAAAATTAACCTTCTCGTAGTTTCCAATTGATTGTATTGTTGGATCACCAGAAATCAACGCGGGCTCAGCCTGCTTGATAGCCCTGTGCAGGTCCCTCAGGTGACCCCATTTTGGTTGCCTAAGCAGACCTGAAATGTACATCCCAGACTTTTCAGGTCAGCTCAGCCCAACTCATGTGAACAAACAGGTAAAACCACGCTGTAAACTTCCCAACAAATATCTCTGGATGACAACCGATGGGAATTCAAGTTTGTCAAAGATGGCAATCACTGCATACCAAATTCATCGATGGGGCATCATAGTCATAGCTGGTTGCGATGAAGGGCCACCGGCCGTGCGCCCAAAGTTTGTCCCTCCATGGTACTGCATCAGATTCAGAATATGCAAATGTGGTGACAACAACAAGAATAGCATTGACTGCAACGGCAGTAATGGTGTGACCAGCATGGCCTCCTTAGTTTTCTTACCATGTAGTAGTTCACGAAGGAGCCTCCTTTCTGAATGAACCTCACCACGGCGAAGGCCAGGTCCTCCACAGGCCGGTGAGGCACCGCGCCACCAAACTTGGTAAACCTTTTGATATTGTAAAATTACAAAATTAGACCATTCTTAGATATCGAAACGTTTTCACGGGATCGGCATGACTTCTGGCACGACTTGGATCAAGAGAAGTACCATCCAGTCCAGGCTTCGGTCCACATGGTCGGCTTGTACTTCTTGTTCGGTGTGAAGTAGTCGCAATAGAAGCCGTTGCAAGTGTTGATCTGCAATGATCAATTCACACAATGTAAGAACCGAAAACAGTTAAGCTGCACATAAGAAATTCAGGTACTTGACACCAGCCAGCCACGCCACCGTTGATGGTGCAGGAGTAGCATGCAACCGAACATACCACAGGGTCCGGGGCATCATCCTGCTTGCACATCACCCACGGCACGCCGGTGTTGGTCCCAACAGCCATCTGTGCCGCCCAGTGAGCATACGGCTTGGCGCCACTGCCCACGACGGACTCCATTGGCCCGAACTCGTTCTCCACCTGCACATAGTGGGCGGATGAGGCTCTAGTTCTGCTCCAATTGCGAGTTGCATTGCAAAGTTGAACCAAAAATGTGACGGTGCACACCTGAGCCATGATGATTGGGCCTCCCTGCCACTCGAATAGCCCCTCCGACTTCATCATGGACACTATCTTCTCCACAAACTTCTGCATTGCCGCCTGGGGTAAAAAAAAAGAATCAGGCACATCCCTCCAGCCCCCCACCCACCCAATTGATGCAAAATGGAAGAAAGACAAAATCTTATCTCATTGCCATAACTGAAAACAAATCAAATCTCTTTGGGTGAAAGTGAAACTAGTACACTACCTTGAAGGGGCCATTGTCTGTCCTGAACCTGATGCCCGGCACATACTTGAGCCAAACAGGAAAGCCACTGAAAAGAACAGACATCGACTGCAATGTTAGCACATTACAGTAGTTCTAGCAATTCACAACCGAATTGCATTACAGGACCAAAAATTCGTAGTCTGCGAGAGACAAGAGTGTTGGTGGTGGTGGGTACCCAAAGTTCCACTCGGCGCAGACGTAGGGGCCGATGCGGAGGTGGACGTAGAGGCCGGCCTGCCTGACGAGCTTGACGAAGCGGACGAGGTCGTAGCGGTCGGCGAAGTGGTACTGCCCCTGCACCGGCTCGTGGCCGTTCCAGAAGACGTAGGTCTGGATGACGTCCAGGCCGCCGTCCTTGGCCTTCTGGATCAGCCCGGGCCACATCTGCATTCGACTCGGAGTCGGAGAGCAAGAACCAGTCAGTCAGTCGAGGTGAGAGCCGCCGGCCGCCGACCAGCTTCTGGTTTGAAGCGGCGCGCAACGGCAGGCAGGCAGGCGACCTGCATTTGGGCGAGGGAGGCGAAGAGACGGCCGGCCATGGACACGGAGGCGAGATTGTACGAGTACGGTACCTCGGGGGTACTTCTCGGGTAGTGGATAGAGCCGGAGATGAGGATGCGGCGGCGGCCGTTGATGACGAGGGAGCGGTGGTCGTACGAGACGGCCGCATTGGCCGCCGAGGCCAACAGGGAGGCCGCCAGGAGGAAGACAGCGAGCAGGATGCGACTACCGGCGCCGGCGCAGCTGCAGGCGGCAAGAAGACGCGGCGCTGCGGCCATGGTGCGTGCCCGCCGCCCACCTCACCGCTCCTCTCCTCCGAAGAGCAAAGCTCCCTGAGTCCCTGGCCTTTCTCCCTCCTGGAGTAGCAGTGACCTGCCGCTTCTTGGCCGAGCGAAGTGGCAACGGGGAGGGGCGGAGGGCGTAAGGTAGTGGCGTTTTTGTCGAGAGGGGGCGGCAATGGCGACGGGGGAGTGCGCGAGCTTTTATGCTGCTGCTCTGCTTTTGCTCGTTGTTTTATCCTTGTTTGTGCGGGTCGCTTTTGGATGGTTACCGCCGGCGGTGAGCTGCCGAGCTTGGGCCGTGGAGTGAGGCTTTTAACCGTCTGCCGTTATAAAAGATGGTCAAAGTCTAAGTATCACTAAACAATTTGAACGCATCTTAATGCCATCGTTGAACTTTTTTTTCCCTCCAAACCATTCCGTCCATCTTCTATTTGATTTTTACCGTTTGACAGTCCTGACATGTGGACCCGACCGATAGTGATATCCAAAATACCCTTCTCTCTGACCCAGTCCTCTCTCTTCTTTCTCTCTTTGCCTGGTGAGGCCAAGTTGTAAGTGACATGTGCACCTTCTTCCTCCGTCGCGCTCCTGCATCACGCTCCCAAAGCCGCCCACCAACTCGGCCGCCGTGCGCGATCCGCCCGCTCGGCCGCCCGTTCGCACACGTGAGGCTTCGCTCGGTCGCATCGTCCGTGTGCTGTCGGTGTGGGCCCTAGCAAAAAGCAGCGTGTAATCGACGCCATGGCGCTCAAGCGGTAGCCGCCGCAACCACCGGCACCTCGCGGGGATCGGCCATGCCGCTGCCTTGCGCGCTCGGCCCGTCTCGCAGGCGAGGGCCTGCGCGCATGGCGCGCCTGCTGTGGCCGGTGTTGTGGATCTTGAGGTGGGGCGGAGTGCTATGGGCGAGCCCGCATGCTGCCAGCGTTGAGAACGGCCCATTGCTCCGCCTCGGCCCATCCCCATTCGGGCGAGCTGGCTTCATTGGACGACTTCGCCTTTACCGGTTCGCTGATCACGCCACCACAGAGTTCAGAGTGCTCGTCCTCTCTGGCGGCACCATCCTGGGCCTCGTCTACAAGCCCCGCAACACGGTGGCCCTCGACGTCGCCACGCAGCCCTTGTCGCCTGGCCCGTAGCTGCGCGACGCCAAGCTCCGTCCGCCATGCTTGTGGTAGGAGATGACACGGTGGTCGTGATGGACAGCATCTCTGCGGCGCGATTGTCTTGCTTTGCTTTGAGGCGCTCGCCGCTGGCGTCCGTGCAGTAGTGGCTGGCGTGCCGACCCACTCCCAAACCCGCCCGTCGGCCCCTAGAGCCGATGGTGACAACTTTTACACCATGTGTGTCGTGGCCTACTTCGTGGTGGGTGCGCGCGTGTGGATCTCCATCAACGACGGCAGAGGCACCTTCTCCTTGGACGCCGAGCGCGGACATGGAGGAAGGAGGGAGGCCCGGGTGGCTCCGTGCCATGGCGTGCTGCTGTTGTGCGTGCGAGCTCAGCGTTCGATCACCACTAGGCGTGGGGGCGAACAAAGCCGTCGCGCCGTCGTCGAAGCCTCGCCAGTGGTGTGCGTGAAAAGGGGCCTTCGGCATCAGAATGGGCGCTCCCTGACGCATGCTGGGGGAGCGTCGGTGGTGGAGAGGCTCCGCTTGCAGGTGGTGGTGGAGCGGCCATGGGGGGTGGGCGCGTCTGCCCCGGCGGCGTCGTGCGGGAGAGACGGAGAGTAGAGCAGAGGGGACGGAGGTTGGGCGGGGATTTCTTGGTTGGCTGCTGTTGGTGGAGAGGGTGGACTGGTGGAGGGGATAAGGCCAGAGGGGCAGGCAGAGAGAGAAGGTTTGGGTGGCTGACAAACAGGCCCCACTATAAGGATAAAATGGTCATTTCATCTGCCTGATTGATAGCATCAGAGGCAAAACTGGATGAAATTGTGTAGAGGGCAAAAAAAAAAGTTTGATGATGGCACCAAAGTATATTCAAACTTTTTAGTGATAAGTAGGCTACGACTATCTTTTACAGTGGTACGGAGGTAAAAGGCTCGTGGAGTATGGAGTGTGTGTTCGTGCACGGGAATGGTGGAGTGGGTGGGTGCGAGAGAGATAAAGAGGAGAGGGGCTTTTATGGATGCTGCCAAACTTGCCAAGTGGAGCTCGAGCTGAGCTGACAGCCGAGTGAAGGCCGTCGTGATGAGCGAGAGAAGTGGAGCAACAAAGAGGTGGGCCCACAGCATTACAAGCACCTGCTCGTGTTCCTTTTTTTCTTTTTCTTTTTTGCGTTTGTGTTTTTTCCGGTGAAGTGTTGTAATTTGGGGCAGGCGGGGGCAGTAGCTAAAATTAGCGGTAAACAGATTTGCTAATAAACCTGCTAACTATTAGCAGGTGGGCTGTTAAGTATTAGTTTCATTAGCAGATTTAGAGTTGCTAACAAGTGTTAATAGTTCATATACACCATCAACTCACTATCAGGCATCTATTAACAGGTAGATCCAAATAGCACCTGTTAAAAAATAGCTAGCTAAAAATTAACAGCTAATAGCTAGATAATTTTTAGTGTTAATAAGTCGAAACAAGCCCGAAGGTTGAGAAGGGTAAATTATAGCATAGGATGCCTCTTCCTGCTCACATCCTAGCCACGTTGTTGTGTGTAAGCAAAGCATGTCTCCCGTTTGCTTGGTTGCCACGATAGTAGCAAATGATACAGGTTACCTGGCTTGTTGCTCCTCGTTTCCGTGTGAATGAAATGCAGTCCTCTCTATGTCCGGCTTTGTCAATGAAATGGTGTCAATATAACTGGGGTTTAAACTCTTTTGGACTGCATGAAATTGAATTGAATTTCTAAATTCTCTGAAGCAAACAATCTCTTTGACTTGGAGTATCTAGACTATATATATACACTAAAATAACAAACATTTTTGTCTTGAGAAATACTAGGTTTTTTTCTTGAACACGCAAAAGGTTTACATGTCATTATATTAAAAAATGAGAAGCTTTGTTACAAAGCACTTCGCCCACGCTGCAGGGGGCTCAAAGGATCAATGAAGCTCATGCCCGCCCTAAGGCCATACTAACTAAGCTAATACTAGGTTCCATAGCACACGGTAGCTTTACTAGTTCTTTAAAAACGCATAAAAAAGAAACCAATAAGTTGATGAACAGGGGAATAAATAAATAGGTGCTGTACAAAACATGTTTCTAAACATGTTTAGAGAGACGGACACTAGCGCAATACTGTTGTGACTTGTGAGTACGTCGAGAGATAACGAAATTTAGGCGTTTATTTCCTCTCCATCAAGTTTACTCCTTATCATATCGGATATTTCGACACATGCATGGAGTATTAAATATATACTAAAAAATAACTAATTGTATAGATTACGACTAATTTGCGAGATGAATTTTTTAAGTCTAATTAGTTTATGATTTGACAATATGGTGCTACAGTAAACATATGCTAATGAAGGATTAATTAGGCTTAATAAATTCATCTCGCGGATTACCGACAGATTCTGTAATTTGTTTTTTTATTAGTATCCGAACACCCTCATGTGACACCCACATATGACACCCGATGTGACATCCTTAAACTTTACTCCGTGGATTTAAACACCACCTACTTTTGATATTGTTATTTAATTAAAAATCCCTGAAAAGGCCATTAAAAGAACTCTGACATGGCTGTGACTGATTTGTAGGACTAATTTGTTGTAAGAGAAAAATACTGTTCCCATCACTGAAAAGTAGGACTGATTCTAGCTGATAAGCTCAAGCGAACAAGAAAGTGACGCTGCTGGTGGGCTTTGGTTCTGGCCAAACATGTTTAAAATCTATCCACACGGTATTACTACATTTTTTATTATCAATATTTTAATTTTTCACCCCGATGTAATGCTGTTAAGCATTAACAAATTTTTCCTTTATATTATAAAAAATATCAACTTTTGACAGGATTAACAGTACTGTATTCCTTATAGATAAAACTTTTGTAATATAAGACCATTTCTTTTTTAGAGTTTATTGTGGTATTCTCAAATAACTGTAAGCCATTCATTTAACTAGATAGAATTATCTATTACTTTCTAATAGGTAACATGTGAAATATATATTTGATTAATTTTTTTATTTTGTAAAGTAGGATGAATAAAGAAAGTTTTAGCTCTATAAATCTTTCTTTTAGATCTAATTGATGCATGTGATAATCCTCATATCAATTTGAGCTATAATCCTCACATCTTTCTTTTAGCTTTGTAAGTTAGATATTTTTCCATTCCTTTTACAATTGATGTGAGGATTATCAATCCAAATCTATTTTGCAGGTTCTATTCAGGAGAGCCACTGGTTTGGTTTCGGACCAATTTACAAATGTATGAGGATCGACATAGCGCACATGGTGGGAGGCTTGCAAACTTTGGTGACCATGATAGTGAGACTATTTGTATCCTATGGATGGCCTTTGTTATTTAGAATTGGCTTCTGAGTTGTTTTTGTCATAAAAACTTTATTAGCCAAGAAATATTGAGTTGTAATGAATTTGTCTGATTCCTCCTCAAAGGATGAATCCGTAAAAAAAATTCCATTATTGCCTGAAAAAAAATGTGCATGTCAAAATGGAAATTCACATTTGTTTTGTCTTTTCTCCTTTTCCGAAAGAACCTTTTTTAATTCTAAAAACAGTTCTTATTATATAGATTATTCTTCTAAGCAGTAGTAGTACTAGTGTAAAGATCTTTTTGTCCTAAAGAAAATCTTAATACTGCTCTGTCTCCACTAGGTAGGAAAAATTCTAGGGCAATAGCGTCATCCATGCATCTACATATTATATATAATTGTTTGGTACCAATGCAAAGACATTCGTACACGTCAGGAAGTATGTTATTGTTTAGTGATTCCATTCGATAAGACAAAATCAGTAACGCATGTGTCCGAGATCCGATTTTGGCTTATGCTAATCATCAAACGCATCAGGTAGTGTGGGAGGTACCATCTAAGCATGCACGTGATGT